AAAGGAGGGAAAAAATGCGTTTTATTATTCTAATGATTACAGCTATAATGGCATGGGCCTTTGAGGACTGGCGTTTGGTCTTTCAATGACAGCTGAGACAGACATTTTTCCACGTGTTATCTGCCACAACAGGAACAGACAGTGTCTCCAGTGTTCTTTTGTGGTCTACAGTGAAATGTTGTATCAATAAAATACAGAGACACTAGACAGTGGGTATGAATTATTGAAAGGCACAGTGGTTCGGCTGGGGTTCTAATCTCCACAGTGCAGTTAATTTGATGTTCTTGTTTTTCTGTTTTGGATTCAACCTGCAATGCACCATCCGTCCCTGCAAATACCACGGACAGAGAGGAGCAGAGCAGTGGGAACTAAATGAATGATTCGCTGATGCTAATGTCCTCTGCCAGCCAAGGTCTTGTTTAATAAACCTCAAGATGAGATGGGCGTGCGAGAAATAATGTGATCAAAAATAAGCCTTGTCAATTCAAGCCCACACACCTGAAGCTGCAGCTGATAATGGAAGTGGAATTTGTAATGAGGGTGAGCATTGTGTGTGAATTTGGAGGAGGGGGTTGCGAGAAGATCCCGCCATTCAGGAGCTACACAGGCTTAAAGGATATGTTTTGTAACCTGTACCACAGCTCTGAAGTGAATATCAATATCTGAGGCAGGCAGTTGATCAGTGGGAAATGTTCGCTCAGCAGAGTGTGAGACACAGGTCCAAGCTCTCATCTATCTCACTGAAAAAGTCTTGTGTTGCCTTTCTCTCTCTCTCTCTCTCACACACACACACACACACACACACACTCAGACACACACACACACACAGCAGGTGGGTCCGGAGCGGTGACATAGCGAAGCTTGATTGGAATAAAATTGATCAGCTCAAGATTCAACAAACTTGGTGATAAAGACAACGGGTTGTTATCTCCCAGCCGCATCAGGACAAGGGAATTCAAGTCCCAGGCTTTCTAATTAGCCGTTCTTATTTTATCATAATCAATTTGAAACCAGTGAGGGGATACTCAGCCAACAGTGGGGAGGGGGGGATTCGAAGGGAAATTTGCTCTGATAAAATGACTCTGCTGCTGAGAGCCCGATAGCTGCAGACATATTCACACAGCTGTACGTTCTCTAAGCTAATGTGGTCTTTTGCACTGACACAGAGGAGGAAATGGGGCAAATTAAAGCAATGGATTTTATATTCTCAAATCTCCCTACAAAGAAAAATGAAAATTACAAATAGATTAAAGAATGCATGCACATATTGTACATTCGGGAGCAACAGAGCATAGTTTCGACTAGGGTGGAGCGAGTGCTTGGCTGAAACGTATCCAGTTAGGACTGTCACTTTTTATCCGAAATCCGTTCAAACATGGTTCATTCAACATTTTCAAAGTGTAATAAACTGTTTCAAATTCAAAATTAAGTCTATAAGTTTGAAGTAGTTTGCCTTGTGATCCAGCAGAGGGCGCTCCACTATCAGCTTGACCTATTTCACGCCTCCGTGACCTGTCAGTAAATTTAACTAGTAATGTTATGTTGTGCACTAACAAAAATGGAGGACACTAGTAAGGGAAGCAACCGTAACAAATCTGCGGACTCACTTGCTAATGTTACCTTGCCATCCAAGAGAGGCAGCGCAGCGGAGGCACCACAGACGAACCTTGTCTGACAGCTTCTATTCAGCAAACTCAGCTTCAGCGGGCCCAGTTTGTAAAACTACCATCACCAATAAGATAGCAATATTTATATGCAAGGCTTTGCTGATGTGTGGCCCATTGGTGTGGTAAGAGTGAACATCTTATCCTATAGTAGTCTTTACAATATGTTTTACTGAGTAGTGTCATACATTGTACAACTGGTCGACCGACCTAGAGCCGGGGTCTGTCCGAGGTTTCTGCCTCTTAAAAGTACGTTTTTCCTTGCTGCCGTCGCCAAGTGCTTGCTCATGGTGGGAACTGTTGGGTCTCTGTAAATAATTTTATAAGGACTACGGTCTAGACCTGCTATATTTGAAAAGTGTCCTGAGATAACATTTGTAATGAATTGGCGCTATACAAATAAAATTGAATTGAATTGAAATTGAACTATTAATTTAGAGATCACTTTAATGAATTGCATGTCATTCAAAATTAGTTTGAACATGATTTCTGGAAAGTGACAGCTCTATATCTGGTATAGATAATTTACTTTTTACGAGTATTAGTATCAAACGAGTAAAATATGTAAATATCAAAAATATACCAACTTGTAAAAAGAACTTGTTCTGTAAATAATTCTCTTATTCTTTTGATCAAAAATATTGCTCTGAAGTGACAAGATAATTTTCTATTCTATAAAGCAACTTCTGATCAACTGAATGAATTGAAAACTTCTGGTTTAGGCACCACCCATGTTTGGTTTAAGCTCCGCCTACTCCAAGTACAAATACGAATACAGATTGGTGGTTGAACAGATGCAGATAATAGTGTACGCCCTCATCTCCTGTTTAAACAAAAAACATTCCAACAGAAAAAGTGCATCTTAGACATTACTATGTGTCATTTGAACACCCATTATTTGCAGGCTCCTGGATACTTAGTGTTGTGTTTGCTCTGCATTGTTCATAATGTAGAAGCAGTAAAGCTAGCATTAGCTGCTTGTTGTTCATGGTTCAGTTGTGGTGATGCCAAATGACCAGACTGTCAAAACTCACAGCAAAAAAGTTAGTCCTATAACCTCAGCACTCCATAAGTTTGAATCAGAACACATAGTAAAGTAACAAAGTACAGATGAGTCACAGAGTAGCAAAGTGCTCAAATCACAGATGGGGCTAAGCAACGGCTTACTAACTCCATATGTCTAGATGATGATAATATCATTTTTATAATCTAATGCTGTTTATTTCCGCTTTTAGTTGTTTTAACAGCATTTCCCCAAATCCCAAGACCATCCTGGGTTAAACATCAAGGGGCCACAGCTAGTTCAGAAGTTACAAGGAAGAAGTACCCTGCTTTGCTGGTGAATTTTCATGGGAGCAGTACATTTTATGTTGGGTTCGGCTGGTGACAAAAGCTGCCACCACATATGTCGCCTGCCTCCAGATCAGCCAATAGAAAAATCCAATTACAATAGTTGTGTTTCAACCAGTAGAGGGCGGCTGCTATCATTTATTTTAGCAAAATGTGTAGAATTTAAATACTACTTGTCTAAAATGTCAAGATTCTGACCTGAATCAACCAAAAACACTAGTAAAAGCTAGTGTGTGTTTCACCACAGAACAGTCATATAATTTAGTTTACAGCTCAAAAAACAAGTGTCCTTTATCCTCTTACAAATGGCATTTTTGCATTGTGTGGTAAGGATATTATAACTTTCATTTCTTGTGATTTTATACTTATTTTACGCCTTATTTGTCATGTTTCAGTCTGAAGAAAATCTTTTGTTTCAATTTCATAGCTCCTGCTTGTTGAACACAATGTGTGCTATAACCACACATTGCTCTCAGTAGGATTTCTGCATTATAGCAAAGAAAATATATACAAGGAGACATTTCATACAACCCCCAACCTAAATTATGAGAAGCAGCTTGTCTTTAGTTTCCATGTGGCAGAAATAATTTACATCAATGGCTGCATAACATGCAATGGCATTTAATGTCCCCACAGCTCAGTAGTGGATGCCAGTGGCACTGTGATGTACGTTCGATTCCTCCACTGAGAATGATGTGAGGTGACAGTGGATTTGGTCAGGATTGGTGTGACATGCACTCTGTGAACAGGAACCCATCCTTGAAAAAGCAGCCACAAATGATATTTCCTCTTTTCCTGTGCACCTGCTGACAGAGCTGAAGACCAATTTCTCAGTCATACACTCTGTATCGGTGCTCATGGATTTATAAGAAACGCAGATGGAAGAAGAGAGATTAAATTAGGATTAGCAAATGATTATAGATTACAGTTCTGGATATATAAAAGATATGAAATCACATCTCCTGATTTATTCTGCATTGATATTTTAAACCTAGTTTTCAGGATTAAAAAGTGTCATTTTTCAGCATTGTTTTAGCTCAGCTATCTAAAAATCTTTACACTGTGAGAGCTTGCTTTTTTAAATCTATAAAGCTGCAATTCTTCACACACCCTTTGGTCAAATTTTTTTTTTGTGTGTGTTTTCTGCATTTTAATACTCCACTCTGCTTCTAGACAGTTCAGCCAGTGTTTACTATAGTTTTACTACTAGAATTCACACAACAAAGACTTAAAGCACACAGCGTCTGCCAGAGTCCATAGAAGAGCTGCGCCATTAACAATGAATTTGAAGAGAGGGGTTATTATTCCTTTAAAGAGGCTGAAGTGCCAAAGCAACAGCTGCATAAGGCTGCAACAGATGTGTAAATTACCCCTCATGAATAAGTCAGAACTCTAATTCAGGATGTTGAAACTTTGCTGAACAGATTCAACACGCTGCTGATTTAATACATTACTGACTTTGCACTAACGTTGTAACATGTGCTCATATTTGTTGTTCACCCAGGCAAAGCAACATACATTTCTGAAAAGGTCTGTTTGTTTCTCATCTCTTTTCTTTGTAAGGCTGAGTGGTCAGGACAGCATCAGCTGGCATTAGTCAGCCTTAAGGCTTATCTATTAACGGTATAGAGGCTCTGCTCTCTGGAGCAAACTGCATTGGAGCAAAACATTGTGAGTTTGTTTTATACACCTATTGCTCCCTATTGCCCTGGGGTCACAAAAACTCATTAGGGGATGTAATAATGGCTCAATCGATGCTCTATTTGAGCAACCATCTGTGACCATACATGTGCTAATCAGAAGAAAAAAGAAGTAAAACCACAGGTTAAAATTAGCTTTGGCATTTACACACGTACACACTAAAGCATTGCTATTTAAATTCAGCTTTTTTTCTGATGAACTACTGAGCACGGTGCCTTACAAAGCACATCAGTAAAGCCACTGGCTTACACCCATTATAGATGAGGAGTTAATTATAGTCCTTACCCGGTTCTTTGCGGTCAGAGGTCTGGCTGGACAACAGGAAGAGGTAATCCTGACAGGTGTCCTGATCCAACAGTGTGCTGTTGTGAAGGCAAAGGTCAACAATTAGGGTCACAGCTTTCTGACAGACCATGTCATACTCCTCTCGGTCAGAACTCATGCTCCCAGCAGCATCCTCAGCCGTGTGTGCTCATCCAAGGGGACTAACACACCCACACACACACGCAGCAGCCTAGCATGCAGAAGATAAATGCAACTTGTCTCGGTCCTCGGCTGATTCTTCTCCTTCTTCCACAGTCTCTCTACTGTGTTTACACACAAACACACTCGAGTGCATGTGCATGTTTGTGTGTGAGTGTGCTCCAGTTTGTGTGTGGATGTGTAAAAGCTTGGCCATGATTGTTAAGTGCATAAACATGTTGTATGTGTGCTATGACATAAATCTGTGTGTGTGTGTGTGTGTGTGTGTGTGTGTGTGTGTGTGTGTGTGTGTGTGTGTGTGTGCAATAGTGTGTGAGGATTTAATGAATCACATTTGTCCCCAGGTGATATAAGAACAGAATTATTGCATCACATATATACTTAAGAAGCAAGTCAAATGAAGCATCACAATCATGAGCAATACCTACCCCCCTCCCACCCCACACCCTTGATCTGGCTGTAATGCCACAGCCACCACTCCTGCCCTGAGTTTGCACACGATAAAAACATAACGACCACTGGGGTTGTTTTTCTCGGGTTTGACTAACACGTCTGGTCCCTGCGGGTCAGAGTGTCTCTTGTGATAAGTTTCCCTCAAGCTGAACCACCTGTGACTGCCAGGTCTCACTGCTCCCACCGACAATCCCCCGTCGTTCTGATTGCAGTCCCTGACTGTTTACGACCTCTAATGATGAGGGTTTAACTATGTGTGTTTGTCTGTGTGCGAACTGAGGGAGAGAGAGAGAGTCCAATTTGTGAGGCTGTGAACAAACGGTCACTTAGAAATGCTGACGTATGTGTTTATTTTATATGCAACTTCACCTTGCAGCTGTGTCGAAACCGCTTGTAGATGTAAGTGAACTGGCATGTGAAATTGCTTTTAATGTATCTGTTGGGACACAGTAGCTAATGAAGCCCAATAAAAGCAAATAGTAGCTGATGCTCTGTGGATTCAATTCAAATTAATTTCTCATATCTGATCATTAGAATAAGTGAACATTCAAATATGCTTATTTTCTAATCAAGGCTGTGAAGATGGGCAACACAAAAAAACCCAAATTGACTTGACTTTTCTGCTATTACATTGAACTATATGTGAACTTGCTTGACCTCATTCCTTAATTATGTTCTTACCAACTTAAACATTAATCAAAGTAATTAAATAAACCCTGTGACGAATAAGGCATCAGAAAAATGATTTCATGCCTATCTAATTACAAGGTGATATTGAGTTTAACCAGATCTTGGTTGACTCCCTTCCTTAATTGAGTTTAAAGCAGGGCGTAAATGCTACGCTGTCGATGTTGGCAGGTTATTGTTCTGAGGAAGCTTAGATAATTGAGAGCTTATCTTAGTCCCCCACCCCACTGTTTTCCTCAACTTTGGATCAGGGGTCTCCTGTGCTTCCTGTTACTGAAGATTGCATCTACTCTTCATGGGCAACCCTGATTAACAGGCAAATAGCAAATTGTTTGTGGCTGCAGGTTTTCCAAAGAGTCAATTACTTCACTGTGTCTGCTCCAGCTGATACTTACTAGCCCCCTTCATTTGCCCCGCGGTCTTGTTAATGCATACAGGTTCACCGCTACCTGTATTCGCATTCACAAGCTAGTGCATGGACGTCGAAACAAAACAACTCTGTGACTCCCTCCAGTGCTGCTAACACTACCAATATAACTGCTTTAATGGACCTGGGGTGCAGCAGGTCTTCCTGGTGCCATTATATTATTTACAGGGTATTGTCCAAGGATGTCCAGTATGTCAGCCAAATAATGCTGCTGAGTGTAATGGTTGCTTGTTAACGTATGGGTTGAGTCTGCCGGGAAATAACCTGCCATAAAAAAGATAATGCACCATTACCAAAGAAATCCTCCAACTTCTTCCCTCTCTTCCACATTAATAATAGTCGTATCTATGGGCTACAGTTTGTGGTAAACTTCTCATCCCAGAACATATATATGATGATATTGTGAATAATATATACTAGTAGATCGATGAAAACACACAGTGGGAGTCAGCAAAACAATACAGCAGAGGTAAAAGTATGAACTGAGGATGAAAATATCACAGTACAGGGTTCCCACTCTTTTTAGAAAGACTATTTTCTAGGACATTTTCCAGTTTGTCTTAATACAGGACAGTACTTGCTCGCAAACATATAAATTACCCGTAGGCCTAATATTGACACATTTAACTCCAGTTTTCACGCAGCTTAAGATAAGATGAGATAAGATGTTCCTGTATTGATCCCCTGTGGGAGAAATTCAAGTATCCTATCCTACCAACAGTCCAACATAATCCCTGGTTTATGCAGGCGAGAGAAGGGGTAAAGTACACAAAAGAAATTCAAGACAACATAAAACATTTCCAGGATTTTTGGTCATTTTAATCAATTACTAGGTGTTTCCATGACTGGAGAACTCGTCTCCAGGTTTTCCAGTATTTTCAGGGCGCATAGGGACCCGGACAGTATCATTAAATAGAAAAGAAATATCATCACCACTTTTGATAATGATGATTATCAGATGATAATGGTCAAATGAGAGCCCTCTATAAGTTAAACAGAATACAAGATTGAATTAAACGGCTCAGATTTAACTGTGCAGTACATTTTGCCCTCTTTGTTTACTATTCACGAGGCACAAAAAACAAAGTAATTTAGAAAGAGAGTGGGAATTAATACGATAGTCAAGACAACTGCTGAGAGAGCTCGTTTTAGAATTACTAATAATCTAATAGATTCTAAAACATTTCTGTGTGCTGTCATTACAAATTCTTCCTATAAGCCATACATAAATGAGGAGGGTTGATGATTTTGTAGAAGGTGCGGGCATATTTTTCACAGCAAATGAGGGGGCTGTGGCACATGAGGTCCTCGGTTTGATATGCAAATCAACTTCATCTGTGGCAAATCTTTCTGTGGTGACAGCCCGGTGGCTGCAGATGTTGAACTTGATTCATTGTGGCAAATGCATGACAAAGGGTTGGCTCACTCAAAGCTATGCTAATCAACATCAGCACTTCCAAACCTCTCCTGCAGGCCAGAATGGCAGGATTTCTACAGTATATAGACAGTGTGTATCGGTGTATTGTTGTGTGTGTACGCGTGTGTGTTTCATTGTCACGACGTGTTAATCAAAGATTCCCTGCTCAGCTATGGGGCAATGAGAAAAATATTTCTATTCTGACTCATAGTTAAGCTCATTAGTAACAGTCTTAAATTGTGTAAGCGGGATTTGATGGTGCTATGAAGCTACAATACAACAGATGAATTGATGATCTCTGAATAAATAGACCTGCCAATGGATACTACACAAGAGCCTGTAGGATTTACAATGACATACACACATGCTATTTCCATTGGGCCCCCGGAAAAGGTGCTCAAAGCACTTATGAAGCCACACCACAATGTTTTTCAATAAGACTGAGCACACAACACAGTGATGGACGAGAATGACATTACCGTAGTATGGATAAGGATCAGCATAATTATTCTGTGTCCAGGTGAAATGTGCACTATCTCATCCAAACATGTCCTGAATGTCACTGAGATGAGGTGTTTAATTGAGGTCCTGTCAGCACGGCCCAGAAGAGTGATAGAGTCCAGCGGAGTCGATTTTCAGCGCCTGCTGTCATGCATATCAATCCCAAGGCATGTAAATGCTATCAGCTTCTCCCTATTAAAAATTCTCATGATTGCTTTACAGGTCAGCACAATGTAAAAAGCCCAGAATTAGAGGGCTGCAACCCCCTCTTCATGGACACTTACTCAGTATGTGATGAGAAGACTGGCAACAGATTACTGCTGTCTCTGTTTGGTGTGCGTTTTCAGTGTTCCTACAGGGTTCACCAATTTAAATTTATGACTTTTAAAGACCTTTTTAATACAACATAGGATGCAATTCAATACTTTTTTCGTATCTTGCTGGAAAACCTGAGATTCTTGTGTTATTATATCATATTTTTTCAGTACTTCCCAGCAGTATATAACAATTATTCCTAAAGATATAATTAATTAACCCAACCTGGACCCAGATAAGCAGCAGAACAGAGACAGAGGGATTAACCAATTAAAAATTATCAATTCATGTAAGTTCATTTAAGTTTTATGCTCCATTTTTAGATCATAGGTGTTTAATGTCTCTTGGTAGCCTGCAATCAGATACAAAAACATTTTGTAACTCACATTCTTGCCCAGGCAAGAGACAATATTTAATGCTTTTGTGAATTAAATTTAAGACTTTTTTATAATCTTTATTGAAAAAACTAAATTCAGTGCTTTTCAAGACCTGCAGATACCCTGGTTTTAGGAAATGAGAACACGTTAGCCTGATAATGATAAAAGCAAGGCAGCTGGACTTCAAGCTACTTTATGCACTTGTGTCTGAACCACAGCCTTAAAGCTAAGTGTGTGTGACGATGTGTGAGCAAGTGACTGTTGCTCGAAAAGAAGGATGGCGGCTGCTTATGAGGTTAGCGTATATGCTGCTATCATCAGGCAATTTGTTCATTTTGGAATATATTGTTAAGAATATATTGTTATACAGGTTTGGGTCAAGATAGAATATGGTCCGACCTATTAGTGACCTCGGTACCAGGAGACGGAGTGGGGTGATGGCAGGTTAACAAGGGGGATGTATAATTTTAGTCATTTTGCTCATAAGGGGAACGGCTATTCCTAAGAACTATTCCTTTATTAATCTGTACGCAACAGAATATAAAACCTTTTAGTCTGGTTTTTATATTTTAGAATATTTTAATTGTTTAAAATTCTGTATTTACACAAACTAGCTCAGCAAACAGTTATCTGTGGTGTCACTTCTTTCTGCCTGCTGATAAGGTGAGCACTATTTCAAACTCCCAGTCAGCGCAGTCTTTTATCATTATAAGCCAAACAAACAAACAAACAAACTCTCACAGGCTGATGACAGTAACTACAGCAGCATTTCCTCCAGTGTGCACAATAGATTATTGTAGCAGAGTGCTGTTCTTCAGATCTGAAAGCAAATGAAGGCGGAGAGGATCAATGATGTCTTTGATCTATTCTCTGAGATTTAGAGCGAGAAAGAGAGAGAAAGACGTAGAAGAAAGGGTCTGCTTTGAAAGTTGGAAGCTAAAAGACAGTGTGGAGTATGAGGAGCATTTTAATGTTTTATGTTGTATTTCCCCTTTAATGTTGTTAGTGCATTATCGACTATAATATGATATGAAATGTATTAAATCACATACCAGATCTTAAAACGGCTGGTAAAACTGCCTTTTTTAGATAAATACATTTATCTTGA